GTTTCCATTCATGTCAATTGCAGATACATGTTTAGTGTTCTCAAGCACCAACTATCAAATATCTCTCCTGATTGTTGGCACTTGACAATCACCTTTCCCTGAATTTTACTCAGGTGTAACTAAAGTCTGCTTTAAGGGTTGTTTATATTTCACATAATTAATCAGAATCTGCAAAGTAACTCAAATAAATGCAGTGGAGTAAAAATACCAGGTTAACCTCTGAATTGTAGTGGAGTAGAATTACAAAGTAACAATGAGCTGTCATGTGGGTATAATGCTGCGCATTATGGACACAAGCGATTTTCACCCATTTATTAATTATATGTTTTACATTTGATAACACCAATGTGTTTAATACTGCCAACTTCTAATTGTGGGGAAAACGAAAACGTTCAGTAGAGACGTCCCATAGAACATTTTGCGAAACACAATAGCCAGCATGTGTAGGTCTGGGGGGGCGTTCGATTCCAGTTTTGGATAGTCTGGCGTGGTTTCGTTCCATTTCAAACAGCTGTTTGACGCTCGGCGTAACCTTGGCACACTGCCACTCCAACATCCAATCCCAGAGCTTGAAGATTAATCACGGGGACTGTAGTCCTAAACGATAGCTGGGGATTATGGGTAGTGTAGTGTCTTCGGCCATCCTAAACTCCTAGAGGCCTACGTCTGTTTCCGGTTATTTTTATTTTGAAATTCAGTTCCTGACGGACGCCAAAAAAGCCCGAGATTATGGAATTAAACCAATAAATAAAAGCAAGGATAATTGTGTGTTATTGGTGAGTAAATAACAGTGTGTTATTTTGAAAAGAATAACAAATTAGAAGGAAAAAAAGGATAGAATTTAAAATTCTTCTTCTCGCCTACAAAGCCCTTAATGGGCAGGCGCCATCTTACCTTAAAGAACTCATTATACCCTACTGTCCTACTAGGGCATTGCGTTCCAAGAATGCAGGGTTGTTGGTTGTTCCTAGAGTCTCTAAAAGTACAATGGGAGCCAGAGCCTTTTCTTATCAAGCTCCACATTTGTGGAATCAGCTTCCAGTTTGTGTTCGGGCGGCAGACACCCTATCCGTTTTTAAGAGTGCGCTTAAGACCTTCCTTTTTGATAAAGCTTATAGTTAGGGCTAATTAGATTCAGCCCCTAGTTTTGCTGATATAGGCTTAGTTTGCCGGGGGACATCTTACTTCTTCCTTCTCTCTGTCTATACCTGTGTACTCTCATGTTCCGATTAACCCAGCTTCCCCAAATGTCTTTCTTTTTGGTGTCTATATACGCCGGGATCCGGAGTCATGGATGATCCTGCGCTCCTCTGTCCTGGATCGCGAGCCCTGGATCTTGAGTCGTGGCTGTGGTCCTGGATCATAGGTCCTGGATGGATATCCTCGTGGATTCATCTTCCTATTATACACACATGCATTTCCAAACATTTGGACTACCTATGTTGCAAATGTATTATCTTTTCAATTTACACACGGCAGCTATTGCACGTCTGTCCGTCCTGGGAGAGGGATCCCTCCTCTGTTGCTCTCCCTGAGGTTTCTCCCATTTTCCCTTTAAACTGTGGGTTTTCTTCGGAAGTTTTTCCTTGTACGATGTGAGGGTCTAAGGACAGAGGGTGTCGTATTGTCATACTGATATTTTGTACAAACTGTAAAGTCCACTGAGACAAATGTAACATTTGTGATATTGGGCTATATAAATAAACATTGATTGATTTAAAAAAAATACAGATTTCAGTGTTCTGAGGCTCTGAGCCCCATTTATTTTCCTCACAGACGGCAACAAAAGTCCGAAATTATACGATTTAAAATAAAAGCAATAATTGTGGCTTGATATTGAGTAAGAACATGTTTTTATGAACCACACAGCTTCCGGTCTTCCTCGACCCGACCGGAGAAAAAGACGTGCTGCAGGCACGAAACACATTACCAGTAGAAATACATTGCTTTTAAAATCGTGCTGTGCAACACGAAAAAAAGGGGGAAATCGTGTTGGTGAACACGAATCAATAGATTAAAAATCGTGTTGGTGAACACGAAATGCCATAAGACTGGGTTGTGCATGGACGCACAAAGAAAGTACGTAACTGATAGAGAGGTTTATGTAGATTGTGAAAACAGATGTGAAATACCAAAAAATATACAAAAAGTAAATGTTACCTAGCTGCTAACAGCAAAAAGCTAACGTTAGCTAGCCCTTCTAGCTGATTCCAGGCAGCATAAGGAGCTTTTTTGCTGTCCGTTGTTCACTTCAACAGAGATATAGTTCATCAAATCTATGAACCTGGAAATACGGAGCTTAAAGATGGACAGAGGAGTTTCAAGAGTTATTAATTTGCTTTACAGGCCCTGACACACCAAACTGACACCAAAGAACACGTCCCGACGGAACACGTCTCCTGTGTCTTGGCCAACAGTCGCACTGGAACAAACCGCAAAGACTTCAGCCGACGGCCAAGTAGCACGTACGAACTGCGCATGCGTGAGTGGCAATAATAACTCTCCTTACCAGCAGGCGGCGGTAGCAGGCGGCGGTAGTGTGTATTCCTCATTCAAAAGACAGCGAGAGATAGCGAGAGATTAGAGACAGAGAGTCATTAGAGACAGCGAGAGATTAGAGACAGAGAGTCATTAGAGACAGCGAGAGATTAGAGACAGAGAGTCATTAGAGACAGCGAGACATTAGAGACAGCGAGAGATTAGAGACAGAGAGTCATTAGAGACAGAGAGACAGCGAGAGATTAGAGACAGAGAGTCATTAGAGACAGCGAGACATTAGAGACAGCGAGAGATTAGAGACAGAGAGTCATTAGAGACAGCGAGAGATTAGAGACAGAGAGACAGCGAGAGATTAGAGACAGAGAGACAGAGAGTCATTAGAGACAGCGAGAGATTAGAGACAGAGAGACAGCGAGAGATTAGAGACAGAGAGACAGAGAGTCATTAGAGACAGCGAGAGATTAGAGACAGAGAGAGAAAACAGTTAGATAGAAAAAGATCAGAATGTGCGTGAGTGAGTACTGAATGTGATAGTGTTGGTCCTTGTGAGTGAAATTGTATTGTGTGTTTAATTAAGTGAGAGATTGTTGTTTGCCTGTGTGTGTTTGAGGGAGAGCGTAGTACTAGGGTTACATAGGAGTGAGTGGATCCAACAAAAATGGACCCAAGACTTGTGAAAGAGCTGATGGATATAAAACTCCAGAACGTTTTTCTTGAAGGCTTATCAAGCCATCACAGGTTTGTGATCAAGAGAAGAGCTGAGACCTTCAGGATTAAAGGTAAGAGTGTGTGGACTTCAGAATATCGTGTGCTATGATAATACTCTCAATGAATATATAATTATGACATTTCAATACCAGATGGAGAAACTGCATTACATATGCAGAAGAAAAAGGACATGGCTGAGCACCTCGCCAAAGTGGTGCTATCCTCAGAAGAAGCTGACAAGCTGTTTAAAGAGTTTCACTGCAGCCAATTGGGAGGACATTTTGGTGTAGAGAAAACACATGGTGCCATCAAGAAAAGATTGTATTGGCCTGGCATGGTGGATGACATCCGCAAGTGGGGGAGTTATAAAATAATGAGGTAAATTACATATTATGGTACAAAAGTGGAGCACAAAAAAGTTTATGGTGTGTTTTTTTTTCTTCTCCAGATTTCTGAGTGTCCCCAGTGCCAATCAAAGAGGGCAAGCATCAAAGAAAAGAGGGAGTACACTCCCATTGAGGTACAAGGAAACAATTCCAGCCAGCCAGTTTCAGCTTTGGAACATGTGAACTTAGGGACGGGTGGCGCAGTGGTCTGTGCATCTGATCATCAGATCAAGGGGGAGTGCTGGGAAACTCCAGTTCGAAACCCGCTCCTGCCGCCACTGCGTCAGGCCGTTGTGTCCTTGGGCAAGACACTTCACCCGGATTTGCTCCTGTGGGTATTGTCCACATAATACCAATGTGTACTTGTAAAAGCGCCTCGATGACCTCGAGGCGTGAAGATGGACGGTGTGGCGCAGTGCGCTGTGCAATGATCATCAGATCAAGGGGTGAAACCCGCCGCTGCTGCGTCTGTAAAGCCGGTGTGTCCTTGGGCAAGACACTTCACCTGAACTTGCTCCTGTGGGTATTGTCCACAGTATCTGACCATTGCATGTATGATATATGTGTAATGTGTGTATATGTAAAGCGCTTTGAGTCATTGAAAAAGCGCTATAATAAATGTAAGGAATTATTATTATTAACTGTGGTTTACTGAAATGCACATTTTTTCTTCTTCTCAGGTCTCTGGAGCTTGTTGGGATGGACCTAGTGGGTAAACTCACACTAACAGATGGTGGCAATCAATACATTTGTGTCATGGTTGATTATTTCACCAAATGGGCAGAGGCATACCCACTTAAAAGCAAAACAGCAGATGAGGTGACCAAGTGTATTCTTGATTTATTTTACAAATTTGGTGCACCTCAAAGACTGCTAACAGATCAAGGCGGGGAATTCTGTAATAAGGTATACCCTTGAAGCATTATCACTCCCTATTATGTAACATTTCTGTGCTAACTTTTTAGTGTGAATGCAAAATTCACCAACACATTCTCGCAGTTTACAGCATTCACAGGCATTTTCAGCAGGAGATGCATTTCATTGTTTCATTTTTGTCCCAATGATTCCTTCAAGGTGAACTATAACCTTTGTGAGAGGCTGGGAATCGAAAGAAGCCTGTGTTCCCTGTATCATCCACAGACAAATGGGCTTGTGGAAAAATCAAATGGAACAATACAGAGGTATGTTAATTAATATACATAACATTATTTTTCCTACATTTACAGTAATCACAAATTATACCTAAATAAAACAATAAGAGTAAATAAATGGGTTGCTTTATCATATATTCGAAACTATTTTGTCTTCTACCTTCTTGTGTCTGTACTTTACCTGAATTTAGGTCCCTGAACAAACTGGTGGCGGGTGAGCCCAAGCGTTGGGACCAATTCCTGCAGCCCACCATGTTCAGTCTGAGAACCAAAGTTCAGTCCCTATTTTCTGATGTTTGGGAGGGAGGCGCCCATCAGAGGTGCCCAAGGAGTACAAGGTAAGATCCGGTTAATCGCTTATCCTGTAGCATTATTTTTATTTCAAACATGTATGTCCTCTACATTACAACTGTTTTCTGTGGCAGATAACAGAAGACAAAGTGAAAAGGATGGTGGAAAGGGAAGATGTCTGGAAGGGACTTCAAAAACAGGAGGCCGTTTTCACGCTTGTAAAGAAAAACATTTAAAAAAGCCAAGAGAGGAAACTGGAGAAAGGGCAAGCGGACAACTTCCAAGTGGGCGAGTTGGTTTTAAAAAGAAACAAAAGGTTGGAGCAAAGAAAAGGTGGAAAACTAGAGGTGTAAATGCAGGGACCTACCGGGTTGTGGACATTGAGGGGAAAGTTGTTGAAATAGTTTCAGAAAAGGGAACCAATAAGATGAAAGTCAACATTGACCACCTCGCACACTATGTCCAGCCAGAGGAGAGGATCCCTGCTAAATTGAACAAATTGTTGGATCCTTCTCCTCTGGCTGATCCACTGACCTCCACATCCTCCCAAACCCTGGCTCCATCAACTCGGGCAGAAGGAGCATCTTCTGAGGTGGAGACTTGTAAGTAAACTGACACAAAGTACACCTCAAAGTATGCATTTCCTTAATAACTAACATGCGTTATCTTTTTTTTTTTTTTTACAGTAATCCGAGACATATGGGCAGGGAGGAGGAAGGAGACGCTATGGGCCAAGTATGGCCCATACAAAGTTTACAGCGAGAACCTCATGGTCTTGGCCCCAGGACAGCAGTTGGAGGGAGAGGTAAGCCTACTTTATAAGACAAAAGTACATATGCAAACTGATAATTCTTTATCAAATGGGATAAAAACATCCGTTGTATTTATAGATTATCAATGCCTATTTGACTCCTACCTCATCACTTCCCTCTGGCGGGGAACACACAAAGGCGATTTAAGAAAGGTGAGTAGAGTAGGACTAGAAATAAGTGTATGTACTTAAGTATGTACAAATATTTTTCAGTTGGACCTGACAAAACACAATGTGGCAGCTGGAGCCGTCTGTCACAAGGCACACTGGACCCTCATTGTAAGTAATCTAAAATGTTAATGAGTCAAGATATTTATTTTTATTCAACACTTGTTTATTTAACACTTTGTTTAATTTGTTGCACTTCCATAGATCATGTGTCTGAGGGAAAACAGGTCCCTTTTCTTGGACCCATTTGGGGCCACCAAAGAACAGATAAGCCGCTGCAAAGACCTAACACGGTAAATCAAGTATCAGCTGTAATGTCTTTACTAGATATATTCAGGATGTGGGATTATATTAAGGGAGCAACACAAAGCCACATCAATGATGTTCCTGATTACTGCTGTTTTACTTCAATAACATAAGATTGTCCTGGACGTAAAAAGGATTGTATGTCCAAAACATAATCTATGTGTTCCCTGTGTAGATCGCTGGTCCGCAAGACAAACCCAGCTGTTGGGCATGCGACAGCATGGATCATCCCAAACAGCAGGACACAACATCATGTGGTGTGTTGATTTGCAAGGTAACATTTATGAATGTGTGTATATATAACCATCTGTCATCAAACCATAATACGAAGATACTTATCTCAGACTTTGTTAGCTTGCAGAGCAAATACTATTGGACCAGAAGGTCCAGTACCCTGTTGACCAGGCGGGTGTGGCCTCAATGAGGTTCGACATGGCAATGTCCCTGGTGAAAAATTCCGGTATACAGGACTAAACCAGAGAAACCGAAATATCCTGTATTTTTTGGCATTTCACTACATTTATGCTGTGTCGGGCCTGTGGGGAACTTAGTTCAGGGTTCACCAAGGTTGACCAATGGGTAAGACGTTGTATTAATTTCCTGACCACCATTTGGCTGGAAGACTGGGATACACCCTGGATAGGTTACCTCAACATCACCGGGTGAACACTATAACAGATATTGAACATTTTTACTTGAATTCACCAAACTTGCATGTCTTTGCACTATGGGAGAACACTGGTGCAGTGGAAGGAACTTCTGAGCACGGACTCTATACAGATAAGATCCCAACCTATACATTGCTTATTTAGTTAAATGTTAACAGAGTGATTGTAAAGCGTACTCTGGATGAGTGATGTTAATCTAAAAAAATGTTGGCCATGTTCTAACATGTATTATTTCTGTTTCTTTTCAGATTGAGTGCACCGGCTGTACCAAATGGTACCACACAACATGTGTTGGGCAGCCCTCTATCTCACTGGACTATTACTGCAAAGCCTGCACTTTATAAACACACACACTTCTTGTTTATGTTCACATGTGGTCCAGGCTGTTATCATCGCACACTTAAAGCTAAAGTATTACGTTTTTCAAAGGCAACTTATATATATATTTAAAGAAATGTACATAGATTTGTGTGTACACCCACTGTTATATCATTTGGAATGGAATCTAACATACTGACATGACAAATGGTGGAATGTGCTCCCCATTGAAATCAGGACTGCAGAAATCTCTTTCGACTCCACTTCGAGCGATAGAATTACTAACAAAGCACTTATATACTAATAAAGGACTGGCTTACCTAAAGCCAGTTGAGTAGCACTTGAAATGTTTGGCTCTATGAAACCTGATGTACTTTATGATTCTGTTTTCTTCACGTTTGTATCTTCTTGGTCGAATGCACTTATTGTAAGTCGCTTTGGATAAAAGCGTCAGCTAAATGCAATGTCATGTAATGACAATAAATGTTTGAATGTTGAAAAAACGTTTCCAATAAAGTTGTTTCTGAAATATAACTTTTATATTGGGAGGGATTGCAATGAATAACAGCAGCATTAGCAAACGCTTGCCTCGGGTGACTACAGCGCCACTTACAGGCCTGGCATATGTACTACAGCGTCTCCAGTGCTTTCGAGCGGCAATGGCCGGCGGTGGCCCAACCCCACATTCCCCTGATAGGTGGAGAGTTGGCCATATAGGCGGAGCACCACTTATGTGACGTAGAAACTAATTAAAATCTGGATCATTCTGTATCAGATCCGTTGCATCCCCGTTTTTAAAGATTTGGGTATGGAGGAAAAGAGAGAGGGTTGTGTTTTCTGACACTTGGTGAGTTCCCTGACACACCGGGGACATATATTCATGCATAAAAGACGTACAAAAGTGCATTTTGCATGATAGGTCCCCTTTAATATATCTTTAGGTAGATTGTTTGGGCCGAGTGCAATAACTTCCGTTTTGGCCGTGTTTAACATTAAAAAGTTTAAAGTCATCCACGTTTTTAAGTCCTTGAGACAGTCTTGAATTTTATTTCAAGAAGATTAACTTATTCAGCTGGAAAAGTTGAGAAATTTGAGTGTAGAAGAACAATCTGTTGAAGCTTGATCCAATAAAAGCAATGTAAAGTGGAGCATAGAGCATGTTTGACTGATGTGTAAAAGGGGTCTTTGTTTCAATACATATAGTTATGACAGTGTGGATATTACTGGAACTGGATGTTTTTTCAAAGGACATTAAGGCCCATTCCCAAACCGCCCCCTACACCCTACCCCTCCGTTTGCGCGTTCACGCGAAGGGTCCGCCATATTGAGGGCTGGTCCAAAGCAATCAGGGCGGAGGCGTAGTGGGTTATAAAAGCCTCCGACAGCGAGTTTGCATGGATGCAGGCTTGATAATCTCACTCCACAGGTGTGCAACCGTTTTTTCGGGCATGGAGGAAACAACGTCATACAAATGTGAGTTCCATGTGGTTATTTTTTTAAACGATAAATAATACGTTGCCTTAACTAAAACATGCCTTTGTGAACATGCATTTATAAATCTACACGTGTTAATTTGATTTGCCAAGATTACATTCGATTTTTATTTTGGAGATGTACAAATCTAAATCGGAATCAAACTAACAACACGTGTCAATTCATGTATCCATTCACTTACGAAATCGGTTTAAACTTAAGTGTGATTTGTAATTTCAGGGAATGTGGTAAAAACCAAGGCACTTATTGTAAGGCGAGACACGGCAGGCAAAAACATCGTTTTTCAAGTACTGGTCAATTTTGAGATTTTGTGCTATTTTGATTCCATAACATGTTTTCTTTCAGGCTTTTGGAAGGAAAACGTACAAAATACACATTTAAGTTTTTATTTTACTATAGTTTGTCTATTTGCGTCTGTAGATTTCTCCTAAATTCACCAAAAGTTAGCATTCTAACGTAACAAAGTACCGCGACCGCTGTGTGCACCATGTCAACAGAGGTATCGCTGGAAAGCTCCGTCTCTCCTGCACAATCTCATCGGATCCAAATATGGTCATTTCCTTTGTATCAGCAACCAATCGTGAAAGCACAAAGGGGTCTTAAACCAAGAAACGAAATCTCATTGGCTGGTGTCAATTTCTGACAACGTGATTCGTTCAGATGCGTCACGTGGTGTGCTAAAACACTTCCTGGTTAGCTTTCAGCTAGAAATTGAAATCTCAAAATGCCAAAAGAACGGCGAAAAAAACGTTCACAGAGAAGACGACAACAATTGTCACTTGCACGAAGCAAGGTTATAAAAAAAAAATGACCCTGAACATGAAATACCTTCACGGAGTGCGTCGATGCGCAAGCTGTCATCCAAAGAACAGAGGGTTTAGCTAGCGCCTCACTGCAATCTTTAAAGGTTGTTTTCTCAAAATGAGTTTTTTCTCCTACTCTGAGTTCGAAATTTCAACTTCAGTAGCACGTACATACACCAAACCTTCCAGTTATATTCCTATCAATATTATGAAGGCTTTTACAGAAGGGTTTGTTCATATATAATTCATAGCCTGAATTATACAACATTGTATACCTAAAAACATGGCGAAAATTGATATTTTAGGGCTGTTGACAGTATTTTCTGATTTATGGAGTGATAAAAAGAGATATCCAATATCCCTTCTGTAAAAGCCTTAGATACTAATATGACTACAAAATGAAACAAGAATTTTGAATCTGGCTATATCCAAAGTTCAGATTTCGATTCCTGAAATGTGTTAAAATATGTGCATATTTAATGAGATAATAGATAATTTGCATATTTAAACATGCTATTTCAGAAAACTTGTAATACAAAAGACAATTACCTTATTGTAAGTAATTAACTGGAGACATTTCTAGCTGATACCTTTAAGTTAAAAAAATTACCCTATTCACCTGGGGTGTCTCGCATTAAGAATGGAAAAGGATGACCTGTTCTGCAATGCTGCCAAAGAAGCATGGGAGTGAGTTATGCACTCAATTCATATTTTGTGCAATGAAAGTAATGAATGTGCACTGTGGGTCATTGCCTTAACACCAATATATATTGTTTAAATATTCTATGATAACAGGTCAATCATTAAGGAACTGGACCTTGGGCAACATGTGTCTCACAAACAGGCCTCCAAGAAATGGGAGAACCTAAAAAAGAAATACAAGGTAAATGGTGTATTGTTATTGTAAAACATGTTTGTTTTTGAAAAAGATGAACAAAGATTTCTAACATGCATTTGTTTGCAATAGGAACTTAAAAGGCCAAGGACTGGAACAGGGACTGATCAGGGGGAAGAAACCCCTGCAACATGGCCCTTCTTCATGGCCATGGATGAGGCCATAGGTGCAAGGCCTTCAATTAGTCCTCCTGTCCTTGTTGCCTCAGCCTTGGCAAACCCCACAATCCTCTTTGATCCGGAGGCTGCTTCCTGCTCCTCTTCCTTCCCCCCCCCAAATGTGGCTGATGATCCAGACCCCTCACCACCCTCATCACTGTCTGAGGCTGGAACCACCCAGCAGCCCCCCCCCAAAAAAAGAAAAGGTGCTATGGGAGTGCTGGAGTGCCTAGAACGCGAGGCAGAAAAAGAGGACGAACGCCACAAAGAAATAATGCAGCACTCAGATACATTTCTAACCCTGTTCGAAAAAATGTGATTTATTTTTTAGGGTTAGGGTTACCCTAACCCTCTCTGAGACCAAGTCAAATTAACCTTTCCTTTTTTATTCTATAAACTACTGACAACATTTCTCTGTGTTGGAATTATACAGACACTATACACGTATAGCTTATAAGGAAAGAATAAATGAATGTATATCACAATATATCTAAATATCTATTTGTATTACACATACAAAGTTCATAGGCTACTATATAAGAAATAAAGTGAAGATAATTGTTGTATTAGCAATATTGAAATGTTTACCTGCCACTGGCACATCGCTAAAATGCGCCTCAACCTTCTGCGCCTTCTGTTGGATCTTGCCATTGAACCCGCTAGCAGGCGACGGATAGCAACGCAGGTCAATGCAGCCGACAGATGTGGGTTGGACACCATGACGTCCGTTTCCTGCGGAGAGAGGGGAGGCCGTCCCAAAGTTTGCCGCTGTATTTATACCCTTAACCCTTAATGGAGGGAACTTCATTCAGCTGTGAGTGTGCCTACAGACGGAGTTCACTCCGTCACGGAGGGGGAGGGTCGAGGGAGTGGTTTGGTATTAGGCTTTTTGTTAGGGTGAAAGGAAAGTAACAAAACCGGGAGAAAAAAAGAAAGAGGAAACTGATTTGCAAGATTAAAATATATTGTTTGTTCAGACACAGGAGGACACACTGGAGCACATCTCCAATAACGAGGAAACACGTCCCACTCGACTCACATCATGTACGGAAAGAGCACGAGTGCAGCTCCTCAGGCCTTCAGGCAGGACTGATTGGGGATTGGGAGCACCTGAGGGAGAGGCTGCACCTGGGGGAGACAATCAGGGGGAGGGACGCAAACAAAACAAAACACGTAACACTTTTAGGTTGGGGAAATGTTTTTATTTTATACCTTGGACTTTCATTTCATGATTTGTTTCATTGTTGTTAAAGAATTTTTTTTAATAAATGTTTGTATTCTATATTTATTATGTTTTGTTTTTTATAGGCGGAAGGCACTATGTTTGTATAAGAGGGCTAAATAAATAGATTTGAGTTATGTTAGGTACATGAATGCACAGGTGAACAGACCAACCCAGTCTCACGGCATTTCGTGTTCACCAACACGATTTTCACCTTTTTTTCGTGTCACACAGAACGATTTTAAAAGCAATGTATTTATATTGCAGGGCTGCCAACACTCACGCATTGAGCGTGAGAGTCACGCAATAATTATCTCACGCCACACTTGCCTTTCCTCACGCTAAGTTTTCGTCCAAAATAAATGTGTATAAATCTAAAAATAAAGTGAAGGAACAGCAAACCGAGCGATCTACGAAATGAGACGGTCTTCTGGCTTAGTTTTCATATGGGTGTTGAGAGATGTATCCTTAAATTCATTTTGCTCTCAAAGAGCACCAGGTTGATGCATTTAAAGGGATAGTGGAAATGGAACCTCAAATAGTTTCGTTTTAACTTATATACAAGCATAATTACGTACCAAAACAATCACACCTGATTAAAAATATATAATAATTGCCTTACGCATGTTAGAAGCACTTTATTGCAGCTTCCCCGAAGTTTTTTAGAAACGAAATGTTCGACTCAGCCAAACCGGAAGTGACGAAAACTCAGGAAGACGATACGATAACAAACCATGGCGTCTATGCAGAATGAACGTGGAAG